GTGAATAACAGGTGTCTATTCGTTATCGCTGCCTATGCACCGACAAACTGTAGCGATGACTCGGTAAAAGACGACTTCTATCGTCAACTGAACGAGCTCCTTAGCCACAGAAGAAGCTCGGACACTGTAGTGCTGGCTGGGGATCTGAACGCTCAAGTTGGAAAATTATCCACAGATGAGCTGCATCTGGGCGGCCAACATGGTATAGGCTCCCGTAATGATAACGGTGAGCGGTTACTTCATTTGTGTGAGGATGCTCGCTTATTTCTTGCGAGCACTAATTTCCGACACAGCACCCGCCGGAGGGTGACTTGGCGCCCACCAGCCTCGAACCAGCTATGGACGCAAATCGATCACATTGCGATAAGTTACCGCTGGAGAGGCTGCGTCCAGAACTGTCGCTCGATTTGGAGCACAGGTGTGGACACCGATCATGCACTTGTATGTGCTGACCTGCGGATGCGCTTTGGCGGACGCCCACGACGACGTTGTGAGCGCATTGACACCAGCCAACTGGCGAAGCCAGCTGTTCTGAATGCCTATCAAAGTACGCTGTCATGCGAGTTGGATAAACGCTCACTGGATGCAATTGAAGCTCACTGGTCTCATATTCACCAGACCTTACTAGCAGCAGGCAAATCCTCATGTGGTATGTCTAATCGCCAACATGGACATTGGGTCTCTTCACAGTCTCTGGAACTTATAGATGCTCGCCGGCATATTCCGGCTGGAAGCGAACACAATGAAACTCGCAAAGAGCTCCGGGCAAAACTCCGTGCTAGCCTGAAGAGAGACCGCGAATCCTGGTGGTCTCATCGTGCATCAGAGATGGAAATGGCCGCTGCCCTTGGCAACCATCGTAAGTTATTCCGTCTGATACGGGAAACGGGCAGCAGAAGACCTGGTGTTAGTGAAACAATTGGTGACGAGAGTGGACAGCCTATCCACAACTTGTCAAAACGCTTGGAACGTTGGGCTGAGCACTTTGAAAGGCAATTTAATCGGTCGGAATTGTTAGATTTCTCGCCGGCCACTGATCGCCCCGCTCCGTGGGCTGTCCCTTTGGATCCACTCTCTCGCTCAGAAGTCGAACATGAGATCGAACTGTTGAAGTTAAATAAAGCCGCGGGACCTGATGATCTTCCTCCAGCCCTCTTCAAATTCGGGGGACCTGCTCTCGTGGATGATTTACACGAGTTACTAGTTAAACTGTGGGAGCAGGAAACTGTCCCAACCGACCGGAGCCGCTCCGTCATAGTCCCAATTTTCAAGGGAGGCTCACGATCGGAATGCGGCAGCCATAGAGGAATCAGTCTGATCTCCATCGCCTCCAAATTGCTTGCCTCTGTCATCCTTCACAGACTGACTGGCACGCGTGAAAGCCAGATTCGTGAAGAGCAAGCCGGGTTTCGTCGAGGTCGTGGCTGCATTGACCACATCTTCACTTGCGTCAGTTGTTGGAGCACCGTCACATATATTGGCGGCCCACCGTTGTCGTGTTCCTCGATATCAAAGGTGCATTCGATTCGGTGGATAGACATGCACTTTGGGACTGTCTACTCAGGAAAGGTGTACCTGAGAAATATGTGAATATTATCCGAGCATTATATGCGCGTAGCTCGGGCAGAGTGAGGGCTTACGGCAAGTTGTCGTCGCCCTTTAATATCTCCAGCGGTGTGAGACAAGGATGTCCGCTGTCACCTTTCCTCTTCAACTTCGCTGTTGACGAAGTCATGGAAATCGCGTTCACAGGACACGACTTAGAAGGTGTGGATCTGCTCCCAGGAGAACGACTTCTTGACTTAGAGTATGCTGATGATATTGCCCTAATCTGTGACAGCTCCCAGACGTGCCAAGCGGCACTGGACAGATTAGCACTAGCTGTCCGTCACTTCGGGCTTTGCTTCGCACCCTCGAAGTGCAAAGCGTTCCTCCAAGATTGGTCTGGACCGCCTCCTTCGCTGACCCTTGGTGGGGATCAGCTAGAAGTCGTTCAAAAATTCAACTACCTGGGAAGTTGTATCAGCGCCCGTGGGATTGAAGATGAGATCACGAACCGTATAGCAAAAGCTCGGGGCGCTTTTGCTAACCTTCGCCACTTATGGCGGCGGCGCGACATCACTCTTGCTCTGAAGGGTAGAGTGTACAATGCAGCGGTACGTTCGACCCTACTGTAACTATCTATAAGCATATAGACCCGCCACCTCATACTAAACGCAACCGCTTAGAATGGCACAAACCCCAGCCCCACCCCCCCACCCCCCCCCCCCCACCCCCCCCCACCCCCCCCCCCCCCCCCCCCCCCACCCCCCCCCCCCCCCCCCCCCCCCCCCCCCCACCCCCCCCCCCACCCCCCCCCCCCCCCCCACCCCCCCCCCCCCCCCCCCACCCCCCCCCCCCCCCCCCCCACCCCCACCCCCCCCATAACACTACACCCCCCCCCCCCACCCCCCCCCCCCCCCCTATGCCTGCTCAAGCTGATCTTCGCGATGTACTGTTCTCGACCATCCTGGGCTCTTCTCTCCTTTCTAGCCCACATCTGGTCGTAGAAAACCGCCTCTTTTCTCATCTTAGATATACATGTCTGGCAATTTTGGTGCTTATACAATCCATGCCTCGTGCATCACATTCGTACGATCGGGATTTAACTTTACATGGCCATTCCTTATCCTACCTCCCTGATTTATGAACGTCGCTTATGCAACCGCTCAAAAAAGCTTTCTCTCTCCAGCTAACCGACAATCCCGACTATACCTGCACCGTTAAGTGATTTTACGCCTCACTCGCCCCGTGACTCCATGTGCTCGTGAGGCATGAGACCCGTTTGGATTGCCCAGAAACAACCCGTTGACTCTGTGCTTGTTCCGAAACGCACTTGACTCCCACATACCAATAATCATCAACAGACGCCTTGCTTGTTTTTGACTACCATGAACTAAAATGGAATGTACTGAACCACGCTCTGCACCGTTATCTCACGCAATCCAGGCTCGCATGGCTACGGCCGAGACCGTTCGTATGTTACGCCTACTGCCCTACACGTTGACAGCCCACCTGTACTCCGCCGACGTAGCGTGTTTTTTTTACTTATATCAAGCGCGACCAATCACTGAGCGTTATGTTGGTGATCGTATGGCATGATATACGAGTTAAGAAGCTGGATATGAGAGTGAAGCACAAAGCTTGTTGACTTTTTGGTCGCTGTGAACATCTCGCAGAGGATAGTGAAGCCCCCCCCCCCCCCCCCCCCCCCCCCCCCCCCCCCCACCCTGTCACCTTTGAGCTTGCGCATCTGATATGAGCGTGTGGGTCATCATCGGACTGTTGAGGGTTGATCGTTGCACGATAGGAGGGATCAGTGCTATTCACGCTTTGGCTTAGGCACGACATCTTGCTGAAATGCTGCAAGGAGCCACTGAGTCAAGTGGGCCGTTCGAGGGCTATGAGTTTGTTGTCCCTCCCAACACACACCAACCATGAACCTCAGCTTCTAGTCTCCTTCCACTATTCTCAACTACGGCAGTCAGTTGTTTGTGCTCATTAGTTGAGTGGGCCTATTAGTATGGTATAGTCATCTCGTAAAAGATGTTGCGAATTATAGTTCTACATTGACTATTAGCCTTCTTTTCTAGACTGTCACTTAGTTGCTCCCTCGATGAGTATGTGCCGTTATCTCACGATACGTCAATTGTTTCCGGTTTCATAATGTTCAAGTTTATATTGCTTTCCTGGTTTCATCGCGTCTGCCTATTATTGAGCACAGAATAGCGTCTTCTCTTATTATAATTTGCATACACGGTGCTTTTTTCAATTAGGTAATGTTTCATCCTTTCAATTTGCACTACTTATGTAGCTGAAGTGTGATGACCCACCACTTAAGCTGAGCTTATATGCGTGTGTTATTGTATTAAGCATGATGATATGTAGTGATAGTGCGAATAAGGTTTTGTATAAGAGTGGCTGGGTGCATCAGGGTCGCTAGAGCGTTCATGCAGAAATCAGAGGTAGCGATAGTTGCACTAGATGTATCTTGATCATTTCTATCAAGACGAGAATGCGTTGCTATTACCTCGTTCTCGGGCAGGTCAGTGCGTAATTCTTTAAGAATCACCACTCTCTGGCTTTTTATTACATGTGATTAACGCAATTTGTCTCGCCCCGATTCATCGATCTGATCGTTGTGTAGCTTCTTTGAGTGGACCTAAGTACGAGCATTGGAATGCCGAGTCAGCTGGAATATAGACCAGATAAAATTCGAATCATCGCTATTTTACACCTGTTTAATAATGCGACATTTAGGTCAAGGCAGATCGCTCATGTGGGCGACGATAAAGCATTGGAACATGCGCTCCAACCTACATGTGTTATTTCTGTCGGTATGAATAGCTTGACGTTCTACCATGAACCCCTTTTAGTTCCCAAAACTCTCTACACGCCTCTGTTAAATTCGTCCCCTGACGTAAGCAAGCGTGGACAAGCTGGATGCAAGTATTCCATAGTGGGTTGGCTGACAAATGCGGAGATTATCCTTACCACTAAACATATGCTCATGATGATTTTGAATGCTCTGCGGAATCATCCTCTCAACATTGCTAAAAAACCCTAGCTCGGTGCTTCTCTCAGTTTCCTCACTAGATTTAAGTTCTGGAAGGGACACACTGACCTAGGTCACTAGTTGGAAAACACTTGTGTGTTTCATTTCGACTAAGCGCCATTTGGCCTCTAATCATTCAATGACTGGGACAGTTTGCACTAACTTCATCGGCATCTGCCTATTGTGCAGCCGAGTCCTCAAGGTTTATCGAGGGTCCCCGTTGAAGAGTCTGGAGTCCTTTGCGAGATCGGACATTGTGCCTCTAAAACATTTAGGTCATCTGCAGAAGATGAGTGATGGGACCCCCTAGGCAGCAAGTTCGGGCAGCTCACTTGTCATTCAGATATATTTTACGGACAAGCAACAGTACCCCCCCACCACGACCTGTGGCTTCCCCATGAGGTACGGTCTGGACGGAGCAAGACAGAATAGATCACTACAGCGTTAACAGCTCCGCACTATGCTCCACTGTATAGTGCCGGCGCTGAGTGATACCATTGTTAGGGCTAGCAAATGAGTTGGTGGCATTGGTCCGAAGCTCGAAAGGCGTATATACATATCCTGGCTAGGAGATGAAGGCTAATCTGTAATATTTAATAAGTGTGGGAAAGGAATAGTTCTTGTAAAGTGAAGATTTGCAAGATAATACAAGAGTAGCTATGCAATATAGTATCAAAAGTATGTTGTAGAAAAAAAAAAAATAATAAAAAATATAATGAACGTTATATGATGTTAAAGAAGAGTAGTGCGTAGATATCTGCATAGATAAATATGTGATAAAAGTGGATAAAAAAGAGGCGAGGGATGCAGATTTAGTAATGATGAAGGGGTCATGGAAAAGTACTGATATAAGAAGAGGTAAGATTTGAATAAAATGAAAGAAGAACTAGATTGATTAAGGGACAAAAATGGAAACTACTATAATATAAAGTATATATTATTAAGTAAATGAAGCAGCTTAGATTTGAGGAGAGTAGTCGGTAGGCGGATAAGAATTAGAAAATTTTAAGGGTATGAAATGAGAAACTGAGAAATATATGAGACTGAATAATAGTACCTGTATAGTGTGTATTAGTAAATGGGCTGTATATAAGATAGTGTGCGACATATGAAGGGATATAGTAAGAGAGTATAGGAGGAAAAACAGAAATAGCCCGTAATGTTGAAACTTATCACTGGGGAGACACTGGGAGGTATCAGTAATGCAGATAGTGTCGTCTGCCAAAAATAGGTAGAGTTATGTGTTATGGGGTAAATTTATTTAAATAGATAGCTTTGCGCCAAAATTATAACATTCTCTTGGTATAAAGGTAGAAAACAATTTCAACCTACACAATAACAAAAAAGTTCTAGCTACTAATCTAGTACCAGATCCATCAGACTAACGAAACTTAACGTGTGGCACATTTGATGAACAAAATACTACACCGTCCAAACATCCCTTCCCCCAACCCTCATAAATCCAACTGTCCACCATAACGCATCCACTCTCATCACCACTTCGCTCATCTCTTCTACTCCCCCCTACCACACCCCCACCCCACCACCCCCCTCCATGTTCGCTAACCCATCCCACACCCCCCGCCACAATTACCCTACCTGCTACTGATTGGAATCAATCAACCAGAGCAGTTTCAGCACGGAGGGACTCAGGGCATACCAACACTGGCTTGGCCGGTGCTCGAAGCTGCATCGTCACCGGATAGGCGCAATGAGAAAGTGCTGCTAGTGTCACCTGAAGGGGATCGCAGAGTGAGCACAGAGCTCGAGTCTTGCAGGCGGGTCTCCGATAAGCAGCAGATATCGATCGAGAGGGTCTCTAATGTTCGGGCAAGTGCTGCCTGTTGACCGATCTGAAGCAATGTGCGAACATTGAGGCATGCCAATCTGAAGGAGGATCGAGGGCTCCAAATGGAAGCCGATGAACTGGAAGGGACCGCTTGCTTGGACATGGGCCTGTTGACAGGGCAGGAATGACGCTCCGCGTTCACATGTGAGTTGAAACTAAAAGACAAGCGACTATTGAAGCAAGGTGGGGGAGGGCCGAGAATTGGGGGGTTGAAAACAGGGGGGATAAAAGTGAAGCTGGAACGGGACGATAAGGGTGAAAAAGCGCAAGAGGGGAATAAGAAGACGGGAAGGCTTGAGCAGTAGCATCCAAACCCCTATCCACCCTGCTCGATGCAGCAGATAGGGCACCGTTGATTATCCTCTGCGGTGGCCAGAGCATCAGAAATTGTTTGAAGTGAGATTCATTGTATTGCGTGGGCAGGATACTGTCAGGTTGCCCAGGCCTAGACAGGAGAACGATTAGGGTTCTCAACCAAAGCCTTTGGTTCAAAAACCTGACCGCAAGGCAGCGGGTTTGGCACTGGGCTACAAGGAGTCCGTTTTAAGGAATAAGGAGCCACCCTCATTCCAACCCCCAACCTGGAGGACCAGGAGGCTGAGTTTGTCTGGCCTCTAACCATTGACCAATCTGGTATGAGTGACTCTGAAGGTGCAAAAATGCACCACCCAGTATAGCTCAATGGATCACTGAGGCACACAAACCATCGCACCACGGTAAGGTCCAGCCTCATTCCCCTTCACATCTTAGCTTATTCGCCTTGTTGAATTATTAAATCTATTACTTTTTGCTTCTTAACGCTCTTATTACTTATGTACTTCTGTATCTTATTTCACGTGACCGGTACTGCTTGGACTGCCAATGCAGGTCTCGTGGGTATTAATTGGTTGACCGTGGTGTGATTCACGCGCGCTGATCTGACTCTTCTGGATTCCAGTTATCGCGGACGAATAATACCCTGGATCAACAACGCGCCACGGAAAGAATATTCACGGGGATTTATCCTACTATTCTAGTCCCACTTGAACTCGAACACTTGACTGCGAATTAATTGGCACTTCTAGGCTTGTAGGACTAGTCTGTACTAGTCCGAGAATGTCCTTGCTCTGGTGCGGATACCAGAAAACCGGAAGAACGGATACAACGGATTGTATTCGAGAAAGGCTACAATCGAACGAAAAACAGATGAAACGACGAAAGCGTACATCAGTGTCGGAACTCACCGTGGACACAAGTGATGAGCCGGATGTAGGTAAAAATGGCCGTAGGGTTGGCATTAAAACAAAAACCATATTGTACGATTGAGTAACAAAAGTGTACCTAAGATAAGAAATATCTTTTGGATTGCTACATGCTCCCTGGTTGGGGTCCGAAAGACCATGAACACGTTTGGCTAGGTACACTTGCTGACATGGCAAGGAGCCGACCTCAGTGGCGTTTTTACTGTGAGTTTCTTTGTTCCTCCTCATCACTTTTAGCCTCTCCCTCCAACCACTATCTCATTTCGTAGCATAATGTAATTTTACATTACAGTTTTTCTTTTTGTCTAGTAGCCGGTTGGTAGCTTACCGGAACGATGCTTATCCATTGCTGGTAGCTCAGCTGTCATGCAACTGTTGTATTTATTTTCTTTTTTCTTTATGTATTACGGCACAGTAGCTGAGATATTTCCCACCTTTGGCTAACGTGTATAATGATGAATGATGATGGCTTCAGGTTTGCGTTGCGAGATGTGGCCATTGCGGTTCAGGTGACCTGGAATAAATTCATTTCCTATATCATAGAGGTCTTTGCTCCTAATCTTCTGCTCACAAAGCGGTGACATGGGCGCTGCCTCTTCAATAGACCCCATTGGCAGGTTCCAGTCCCATCTGAGTCTGACTGGTAATCACCGTCTGACATCATCTGTAGCACCTGCATTTACGCTCACTTACTCTCGCTCTCTTA